CATCAGACGAAACACGGAATTGCTCCCACTTGACGCCTGTCTTCTGTGTAGTCGTGATTTTACTATGACGGGCATTTTCTTATATTATATTGTATACGTTAAAAGGTAATTATATTTTCATAAAAAATATAATTTAAACCAAAGTTGAGAGATAACTCAATCAGTTACGCCTCATGGCGGGCATCCACGTGAAGTTAATCGGATAACGCTTATGAAACAAATACAATTTCTCAATTTCGTTCTTCATAATGTAGAAGAAAACTTTTACAAAATATAGCACTTGGTTTAAAACTTCGGAATAAATTACTAATTCAATACGAACTTGATGTTAAATTTAATTAAGGCATCCTCTCCCTGATCCGAGGTTACATTATTACGTAGAAATTGATTTGTTTAATGTTCAAAATAATAATTTTCTTGTTATATGAAATATCTACAGCTTGGAGTTATCGAAAACAGATGTTATGAACGTAATGATGATGAACAGTAAAAAGTAATATGTCAATGTATTCCTTATAATATTTTACATATTATTGATAGTATTTTTTAGTAGTTTCTAAGGGGAATTTATTAATTTAACCAAGAAGTCTGTAAAAACCTTAAGAAATAAAACAAATGTTCACCAGCTTTTCTTAAACAGGTCGTATCTTATTAAGACAAGAGATTAATACTGAGACTTCGGGTCTGATAAATATAGAGGTTTACAGCACGTTGCAAATGGACCGCGGTTGAAGATTCTATCTCTTACGAGATCAAATAGGATCTATGGAATTTTAAACTGTTTCGAATTACTACACTAAATCGAAGAAAATATTTTTACTTTTGTAACTAATAAACTCATAAACTACTGGACTAATTTTAGTCATGTTTACATTATTGTAACACCAGATTATTCTTTTTTTATATCACAAGGTGCAAACGGCCGCCTAAATCCGCCGAAATGGCGAAGCGACCCATAGGTATCTGCAATCGCAAATGGGTTGCCTACCCATTAAGCGACGGAGGAGGAGACACACAAGAAAAGGATGTTTCCCCGTCTTATACATCTCTACCGTCAAATCCACTTTTCCTTCTTATTCTTTCGTCATAAGAAAAGGGTGAGAAGGAAAAGGGACTAAAATTAGGCCTCCGGCACCACACTAATCACACGAAACGCGGAATTGCTTCTGTTTCAAGCCTGTCTTCTGTGTCGTCGTGGTATTGCACCGGACGGGCCGACCCATTCATGCTATAAAGCGGGCTATACCACTGTTAAAATTCTGAGTATCAAAAGCCATACTATACATTGTTTCAAATAATTGTGTAAAGATCAAAATAAAGCAGTAGTATAATGATAAAATTGCATTACAATAAACTTATTTAGAAGCTTTCAGTAATTAAATATACATTTTCAAAGTAATTCCTAACAATAAACCAGTTTTATGAAAACGTAACAAAACTATCGTAACAAATTCCAAATTATTTTTCGATATTACGTGGTCTACTTGACTTGGAGTACCGCTATTCTCCAAATAGCCATAATAAACATCGAACGCGAAGAAAAACAGGCCTCAAATAATAATATAAAAGAAATTTTCCCTACAAAAGAAATCATAGTTATTTATTACCCAAGAGTTTTATTATTTTAGATTCTATTGTAAGAAATGCAAAAGTACCTAATAACTATCTATTAAAGATGTGAATGAAATTGGGATACATTTTTAATAATATTGCACGTAACAATTTAACAGTGGTAGTGCCCGCTTTAACATCTTAGCACGAATGGGCCGGCACGCCCGGTGTAATACCACGACCACACAGAAGACAGGCGTGAAGTGGAAGCATTTTCGTGTTTCGTCTGATGAGTGTGGTGCCGCAGGCCTAATTTAAGTCCCTTTCTCTTTATCAACCTTTTCTTATAAGGCGAGGTTGGGGGGAGGGGAAGTGGATTTGACGGTGGAGGAGATGCATAAGAAGGGGAAATATCCTCTTTATGTGCGTCTCCTCCTCCGTCGTATAAGGGTAGGCAACGCATCTGCAATTGCGGATGTATGTGGGAAGCGGTCGCCTCGCTATTTTGGCGGATTCTAGTGGCCGCTTGCTCGTTTGCCACCTTATGTTATAAAAAAAAACGTAAATTAAAAAAATAGAAATTATACCCTAAAACATTTTATTTACGCTGGGTTGCTGAAGTTACCATTTATTTTACCACTAGCTGTTCACGTGCGGCTTCAACCGCATGAAATTATGAAAATTTTATTAACATATTGACAGTAAATGTCAAAATGACATGACAAACCATGGCAACATTGCTTCCTTGATGTTGGCAGCAACTTATGGTCTCTTTCCCACATTAGTGTTTTTGTCCAAAATATTTACCCCCTAAGTTTAATGGCGTGAAAAAATATAGCCTAAAGCGTGACGTAAGTGTATCGCTTTGTATTAAAAAAACAAAACCGACTTCCAAACAAAATACACGAAAAACAAAACAAAATGCACTAAAAACAAAACAAAATACACCAAAAA